GTAATATATGTTGATCATCTGAATGACAAAATGTATCTTATCATAATTTCTGCTTTTCAGATGGGTTTTTCAGTCTATGAAAACTGTTACCTTTTATAGTTTGTCTAGTTTTCTAGTTGTTTATGACTAGAGGGTAAGTCTCATTCCAGTCACTTAATCATAGTCTCAGAACAGTATTTTAAAATGTTTTCAAAGTTGATACATAATAGGGGTATATACTTCACAGATAGCTAGTGTACAAACTCTACCACTCTCAAGGATCATTCACATGTTTACCTCCTGATCTCAAGAGAATTAAGTTTCAGATTCCTAACTACACCAATCATCGCTAACATTTTTGATGTCATTTAAAATATGTTTCTCAAAGTACAAACTAATGACATCTTAATTGTTAAGAACTATAGAAAAATCCCATTGCTATGGTTAAATTTTCCAGAGAGATTTTGCACTGCTCTGTTAAACACAAAGTCCTTTTGCATTTGAATGATTTTAAATTAAACTCTTCAAAACATATCAAATATCTACCTTTCTAATAAAGGGTATGGAAAGTAGCAACCTTTTCTCTAATGACTAATGATCTTCCTTATAAACACTGGTTATTATATGCTATTGAAATTCAATCAACAAAATCAAAATAACTATTGAGAATTATGCCCGAGGAAGTTTATTCCAGTACCATTATTTAGAACAAATGTTCCATTTTTACTACTATACTGCAGAATATTTTTCAGATTATGTGACTGAAGTAACAAAAAATGGCTGCACGCCAAGAAAAAGGAAGTGTCTTAAGCAAGGTTAAAGTTCAAGTCTCCTTCATATAAATGTTGAGAGATGGTAGGTCTGGGCTTATCAGGTAGCTCTGTTCAGTTTTAATGAGCAGAGGCCTACAAATCTAAAATCAATGGGCGAGCAGGGATGATTCCTTCTGAAGGTTATGAGGCAAGGACCTTGGTTTGCAGATGTCTGTCTTCATCTTGTGTTGCTTTACAGCCTCTTCTCCCTATGCAAGTTTCTGTATCCAAATTCCCCCTTTTTTTGAGGACCCCACATAAATTAGGGTTCACCTTAATGACCTTGTTTGAATTTGATTGCTTTGGAAAGACTATTTCCAAGTAAGGTCACACTCAGACATAGAGGTTTACACTCCAAGACATCTTGTGCAGAGGGGCAGAACAGTTTAATCTATAATGCATGCATGTGGCAATATTACTTTGATAGTCATGTGGTCTTCTCATGTTCATGTCTGTCAATTTTTTTTATTGGGACACTAGTCATGACAGATTAGGAGTCTCAACTAATTAATCTACAATGATCCTATTTCCAGAAAAGTTCAGGCACCCAGGAAAGTTCCCCAAACTCTGGGCTCTTCTCCGGCTTCCTGAGTAATCAAAACAGCATCAGGTGGGCTGGCAGAAGAAAAAGACCAGTTTAACAATTTTCTCACAGGAAATGTACTATGAGTAGGTAGATCCTGACTTCAGGTCCAAGAACAGAGTTTAAATTTGCAACTGAGGAATGGGGTAGAGGCCTGTGGTGCTAAAGGGAGAGGAAGGAGTACTTCACATGATGAGGATATGACTGCATGTTTATGCTGAAACTAAATATGGGTTTTTTCAGATAGAGAGAACATTTCTATAGGTAATGCTATACCTGGTTAATATCCAATTTTTATTCTTCTAGGTAGTAAAGGAGCAGTGGTCACTTCTTTTGATTTGGGGAAAGTCAAGAGCTGCTTTTTAGCCTCCCTACCACACCCTTCATTGATCTCAACTTGAAATAACAAGCATGCTAGAGCATCTTGGTTGGATGGGGGAAACCTTCCAAAAGTAAAGGTGGAGGTCATTATCCAAAAGGGGGAGATATTAAGGGCGTTTGGATAGGGAATGTGTATCTAGGGGATGTCAGTGGGCCACAGTAATCTGAGGAGCAGCAGACAGTGGGTGACATTTCACGGTGTACCCAAAGGACAACATTTCTAAATGGCTGAACATTTAGTTTGGGGGGGTTGCATTTCAAACAATTAGATGAGTGAAATTTTGAGTTTGGCACCAGCACACTTTTGGGTGACAGGGTCCCATGGGGCCTGTTGTGAAGAAAACACAGGACCCAAACACTGGGGCCCTTTTAAACATATTTACATACTGTCCCCAGCCTCTGCAGTGAGAGTTGATCCCTGCTGGCCTCGGAGCAACAAACATGGCGAGCAAACCTCTCCTGTCTAGCCCGCTGCTCCCCTCAGAAGTATATTTCCTCAGTCTGCCTGTTCTGTCCCCTGCTCTGTCTCCAGTGAATCCTCTCACCCTCCTGCGCATCTGGCCTATACCCCAGTTCTTGTGTAAATAAAAAAATCTTAAAAAAAAGTATTTACAGGGCCTCCCCGGTGGTGCAGCGGTTGAGCGCTGGGTTACAAAGCTGCCCGCAGCCTCTGCAGCGCTGGTTCGATCCCCGGCTGCTCCCCGGCCACCGGAGGAGGGTCCCACATGGCGCACAGACCTCTCCTGCCGCCCGCTGCTCCCCTCGGCAGTGTACTTCGGACCTTCTGCCTGCTGTGCTCCCTGCTCTGGCTCTGGTGAATTCTTTCACCCTCCTGCCCTTCTGACTGTACCCAGTGCTTGTATAAATAAATAAATAAATCTTTGGGGGGGGGAAAAAGTATTTACATAACAATTAGCTCCCTAGTGAAAGACATTTGACAATTTCTCCCCAACAAAATTGCCACACACAGGTCAAAAGAAAAATTACCAACCAATTTACATCAGATATGACAAAAGATAATTATTATAATCAGCACTTCTAAAAATATGTAGGATAAAGTGATAAAGTCTCCTTGAAAAAACTCTGAAAAACAACAGAAACAGAAGAATTGACTGTTGGAAGTAAAATTACAATTGTGAGTACCCCCTGGGAAGATGGGAACTAGTAAGTGATGGTGGGGGCAGGTGAACACAGCAAACCCCCAGAAGGATGTCTGAGGCAGCCTAGGGAGGATGTGGAGAGGCTATAATTTTTGTGCTGTTTCTCTCTCTTCAGTTTAGGAATGGGCAATGTCATGACTTCCGGTTGTTGATAAGCATCAGCAAGTAAAAAAAAAAAAAAAGAGCTGAAGAACACAGGGGCAGGATGACCCGTGTCCTCAGAGACCCCAGTCTCCAGCTGGGCAGCTCTCTTGACTCTCCTTGTTCTCAAATTTTCCAATGACACAGTCGAGAGTGCATGTCTCAACACTACAACAATCATTTTGCAGCAAGAGAGCTGCAGAACACAACCACTCTAAAAGAAAGTTACCAAAATAAAAGTAAAATTGAACACTAGGCATCTCAGGCATATTTTTTGGAATACACATGCCAGTAATGTAAAACAAGCACAACATATATTCAAACAGTTGGGAAGAATATGATAAAGAAAAGAAACAAGAAATTACTTTGAAGAACAAGTAAAGATAATGGATGGAGTAATAGCATGATTACACCAGAGAGGTTAGGAACCAGACAATAGCTCACCCTATCATAGTTATTTTTATCATAGTTAGGAAGTGCTGTTTTGAACTCATTCATTATGTGTTAATGAACTCTTTTACAACCTGGGCCAGTGAAATTCAATGATGGATGATATTTGAGTAATCATTTAAAAAATGTTTATAGAACTTCTCAGGTTTTCTATTCTTAGTTTTGATGGGCTATATAAAGAAGTTGCCCATTTTATCTAAATTTAAAATTTTAATGGAACACATTTGATCATTATATCCTCTATACTTCCATACTCTAAAGAGATAAACAATAACAGACATGAATGAGGGGCTAAGTGGAGCTTTCATTTTGTAAGTGATTTTGCAGGAATATCACTATTTTGTTCTTTAAGAGGAGTCAAATTCTGACTTTCTTGATCTACTCAATTATTCATATATTTCCTATTTCAATAATTTCAACTCTAAGTTTCTATTGTTCTTTCTTTATAGTCTTGATATTGCTATTTTAACTCTTAGGATCCTCAAAAGGAGAGCCTTGTTGGGCTATGGAACTAAGCACCAGGGCAGATGCACAAGATCTGGGTTTGAGCAGATAAGCTACAGGCCAGGAGTGTGTGTGTGTGTGGGGGGGGGTCAGGGGCAGGGGAATAAGTTAGTGAGTCTATAACAAGGTGTCCCCAGGAAAGGGGACCCACCCAAGGAAGGGTGGAGCTGAGCAGGGAGAGAAGAATCTGCGAGGAGATTGAGAAGGAAGGAAGCAGGATGGAGCCAGAAGGAGACCTGGAGGAGGCACAAGGAGCCAAGAGACACATGAAGAAACTACACTTGTCTTTTGGTCGTGGACTGGGTGACACAGATGTGGGTGAGAGACCCGTTGGGAGGTGACAATGGCGGTTTTTGTCTTGATTTTGATTTTGCTCTTTACCCTCCAGACTTGTCTGGTTGTTTCTGACCCTTTTCTGTGGTCCCCACTGGAAGAGGCTATAGACTTGTGGCAGATTTTGGGGTCTTGTTCTGGGCCAATCCTGCTTGGGTGGACTTTTACCCAAGAGGGGATGGTTCATTTTGGGTGCTTGATTTAGAAACTCTATTCTTTGCCTTTTTTCTGTATTGTTTCCTAATTGTATTAAAGTTCCTTTTCATCAAAGTCTCCTATGTTTTGTGTTGATGCAGCAGATGGCAGAACCTATTTAGAGCACGCAGGTTTGCAGGGTCTGGGGCGCCCCTCTCCCTGCCCTTTAACAAGTCGCCCTCAAACTTCTGTCTTTCACTCCGCAGGGAACCAAATTTACTCTCTTCCAACCCAAAGCGCCGTTCCACCGCCCCGCTAGCAACCAAGGAGGCGCTGGCCCGTTGGAATGGGGTTTAAAAGTCCCAGACGGGCGAAAAAAACCAGGTCTGGGTTCTAGGGGACCGTTTTAGAGCACGTACTCGCCCCTCCCCTTCCGGCTGGGTCCGCCCGGCTTCTCCGGTCCCACGTGTGTCTGGCCCAGGCTGTAGGCGAGCGCCTCTAAGAAACTGACCTGAAATTGCGCGGGTTCGAAGTGCAGCGGTCCCCGCAGGGCTGCAGGAAGTACCATGGTGGGCCCCCTCAAGATCCCCCCCACCCCCACGTACCCGTTAAGTCTCCTGGCAGGCTGGAGGAAGTGGGCGGGCCTAGGAAGCTGAAAGGGGAGACTGGGGACGTGATGGCCTGGGGCGGTGCTGCGCGGGCGGGGTGCGGGGCCGGGGGCCGCGGGCGGCGGGTGCGGGCGGGTGGGGGTGGGAAGCGGCCGCCGCACTGCCGGCTCCCGCCCCAACGTTCCCACAAAAGTTGTGAATAACTTCAGCAGTGTCCCCTTGACGCCCCGGCGCTCCTCTGGACTGGCCCGGCACATCCCTCCGGGAAGTCTGCATCTGCATTTTCTCGCCTCTGGCGAGCCTTCTAAGTGGGAGTCGGGGGAGCTGAGTTCTGCCAGACTCGGGGAGAGGGTGACCCCCCCACAGCTGTGCCCGCGTTTGCGGGGGTAGGCGGCTTCGATTCTGCGGTCTCCTCAGAGCGATCATCGTCCCTCCACCCCCCCACCCCCTTGACCCGCTCCCACCCCAAATCCTGCCTCTGTGGCCGGCGCCCTTTCTTGGCCTGTGCTCTGAAACTTTTGCTGGTTTCGTTCATTGTAATTAATGTCAGTAATCGTGGCGAGTTGCCTTCTTGTGTTAACTTTGCCGATTTAGTTTCTCTTACCTTGAATCTTTCCTGAAGCTTCATAAATTCATGTCTTTTTCTGACGTGAAACTTTAATTTCATGTTACTCCTCCTTAGAAGATCTAAATGGGTTTGCATCTGAAACGAATTTAAACCAGCTAATTCATTTTTGCGCATTTTAAGCCCGAAACAAAAAGTTGATCCGGTATTGAACCGTATGAATATACTGTTTTCTTTTCCTTCTATATATTCTCATGATAAGGTTTAATTTATAAAATAGGCACAATAAGACTAAAATCTTACAGTTACAAAATAGAAGTTCTGTGAAAGCGTCCTTGTTCTCTTATTATCTATTGTAGGTAATATCTGACAGGGGTTGCCCGAGGGCAACTGAAACCATGAGAAGCAAAACCAGGGATAAGGGGGCACTATAACAATAGCAACTATGGATTTATAAATGAGCTGTTATTAATTCTGGTGGCTTTATGGTACCACCCATAACCCAAGTTATGCCAGGTTTTTTTTTTTTTTTCCTTAGTACTAGACTAATTATTTCTTCAGTTTCTACTTAAATGTCTCCTGGGCATCTAAACTAATGTCTAAAAGTGAATTTTTAAAAAAGATTTATTTATGCATACAAGAGCTGAGGTTTAGGCCAGAGATATGGGGGGTGAGAGGATTCACTAGAGATATAATGGGGAACAGAAAAGGCAGATTGAAGGCACACTGCTGAGGGGAGCAGCAGGCAAGAGAAGTCTGCTGGGCCGTGTGGGTTGCTCCCTGGCCGGCCCGGGGATTGAACTAGTTCTGCAGATAGGTTGTGCCTCCCTTGTGCCAATAGGGAGGCCCATAAAAGTGAATTCTTGATGTCCCTTGTCTCTGTGTACCATTCCTACCTCACTTAGTGATACCTCTGACTGTCAGGTTACTTGTACTATGAACCTGGGAGTTATTCCTTATTCCTCCCCTTTTCCTCACCATATTCAAGTCCTGTCATCCAATTTTTAAAACATTTCAAACTTTGACCTTTTTTTTTCCATCTTCACTGTCATCTAAAAATAAGTATTAAGTAGAGACTGCCCTAATCTATTTGGTTCCTAATCTATTTTTTCTCTAACTATAGTAATGCATTTTTTTTAGAGACATAAAATTTTTCTACTGTCCTTTATATAACTTTAAATTTTGGTTAATGTGATGTGAGCAGAAAATCTGTTTTCCAGATGTTGCTCTTAAAGAGATATGCCTTTAATTTTCTCTTGTTTCTTAGTGCTGGAATTTAAATCTGGTATTAAGCAATCTTGGGCTATTTGGATAAATGTGAGGTCATGGCCTATCTTAGATAACAAAAAGGAAGGAGCCTGGCTCTCCAATGATTTGGTGGAGCACAGGCTATAGCTCCTACATTTACATGAAATAACTAAACTTTATCCTTGTTAAGTCATTATTTTGGGGGGCTTCTATTACCAGGAGCCAAACCTAGTTCCTACATAATGTAGGTGGGATAAGATAAACTGAATAGAACTGTAGGAATAAAAAATTCCTAACATGTCTACTTTAGAGGACTGATTGAACTGTGACCTAGTTAACTAGCATATCCTTGAATGGGAAAATTTGTTCTGTTTTGGATGTACTAATTTTGAGATAGCTTTTATTATTCCATCTGTTCCTGATTTCCTGTGAGCCCAACTTGGATTTTACTTGATTCACTGCCCACTCTGTTTCATGTGAAATTTCTACAGTCAAGCTCCCATTAACATCCTGTGTTCCTTCTGCCCCCTTAAAGTTCAGTGGTAATATTAATTCCCACTGCGAGTCTCATCTGCCTTGTCTGTACCTGCCATGATAGTGGAACAGTTCAATAGTTGGATTTCTAGGCCCCTTGTTTGTCTTTCAGTGGAGTAGTTTTGAATATATCATTTCTGTTGTGACCATGGAAACGAAGACTGTCAGGATTATTTAACTTGTCGGCTTACCTCCTGATTCTTAGTGTAGCACTTCTGGCTCATAGTATATTATTCCCTTAAAAAATTTATTTCTGAAGAAAATTTGATAAAAATCATGTTTGTGTCTGACTACATGTGTCCTATGTTTTCCTACATTTTAGCCTAAAGCACCAAAAGGAAAAATTGTGGGACGGGAGAAAAAGGTCATCCATCCATATAGTAGAAAAGCAGCTCAAATTACGAGAGAGACCCACAAGCAAGAAAAAAAGGAAAAGTAAGTATCTTTTCATTTGTTTTATGCATCGGTGAACGGTCCATTTATGTTTACCCTTAATCAGTATCCCCTTCTCTTCCTTTAATATTTGTTAAGTGTATTCCTTGCACTGAAGGTGAAATAGTGAATAAGAATTGAGCTTTTATAGAGTTCACCTAAACAGACACATAAATTTAAGTAGATTGTGGTGAGTGTAATGAAGAAAAATTAAAGAGTTTTTTGGAAATGGAGAGTAAGAAGAGATTGTTTTGCGTGGAAGGCTTCTGTGAAGTTACATGTGAGCAGAACACTGAAAGATGTGAGGGAGTAAGCTAAGCAGATATATTAGGCACTTTAGCCTATATGTGCAGTATGTATGTGGAAAAGGAGATTAAGGAATATAGGTAAGCCAGGCAGCTTAGGGTATCCAGCCTTGATACTCTTCCACAGAACTAAGGATTCTTTGTACCACTTCCTAAGGTAGTTTTTAGGAAGAAAAAGAGGTTGCGAGCTGGGGAGATCAGGGAGGGTATCTGTTAGGGTGCACTGCCTTTGACCAACAGTATACAAAACCAGATCTGCCAGAGTTTGGTAAGGTTGACTCGTATGATAGACTCTGATTAACTGAAGATAGTACAGACAACATGGAGTAAGAGTAAAAAAACTGGTATGGTTTGAAGACTGACATTTCCACCAGCGCACAATTTACAGATAGCAAAAGGCTACTCTCTATCATCGATTTAGCTTTATTTTGTGATTTTTTTCAGCAAAGCCATATTTTGTTGCTATGTAGTGATATATTTTCTCCTGCCAGTTATGTAACAAAGAACTCCAGATACAAAATAAAAATGATAAAGAAATTAAACACCATAAGAAGCTAGGATATGATTTTGAGACTTAATCTTAAATCTTAATTCTTTATCCCAACTGATACCTCTCTAGTTCAAGCCCTCATCGAGTTGATTGAGTTATTGCAATTTGATATTAAACTAGATTCTTTCCTTGAGGCTTATTTGAAAGGAATAAATTCCTTGACCTTGCTATGAAATTTTTTAAAATCAGTTTTGAGTTACAAATACCAAAAATAAAGTTGACATTTCAACATAAGGGGTAGGTTGCTGACCTCCATACATTTGAAAATCCACATAAAATTTTTGACTCCCCCAAAACTAAACTACAGTCATCCCTTGTTATCTGCAAGTTAGTTCAAGACTCCCCCCACCTGCCCCCCAATACCAAAATCTATGGATGCCACCTCCCTTAATTTGCCCTCAGTATCTTTGGTTTCTGCATCTGCAGATTCAACCAACCAATATCTGAGCTTGGTTGAATCCAGGAATTTGGAACTCTGCGATAGAAAAAACTCAGAGTTTAAGTGGACTCACACAGTTCAAACCTGTGTTAGAGGGTCAACTGTAGATATATATTTAAGTATGCATATACTGAGTTAACAATACATTGGTGTATCCACCAGGGTCAGTATAAGGCATTTTCACCCTCCCAAAAGACTCTCTTGCACATCTTACAGTCACTCTTTAACCCTAGAGTTTCAGGCAACCACTGATTTCTTTTTTGATGTGACCTTTGTCTTTCCTAATATTTCATACAAATGAAATCATACTGTATGTAGTTTTTTGTTTCAGCTTCTTATGCTTAGCATGAATAAAGTTCACAAACACTATGCTATTTCATGTATTAGCTGTCATTCTCTTTCATTACTAATAGTGAGTGTACCTGTATGGTTATGCAGTTTGTTTTTACAGTTACATGTTGATGGTCATTTGGATTGTTTATTTTTGGCTTTTATGAGCTCTGCAATCTAAGGACCCATCTACCTCTTTTTATAAACAAAAACAAAAGAAAGTAGCTATGCCCTTTCCTGTCTCGTCTGCGACTGCTTTCAGGCTTACAGTGGCAAAGTGGAGTAGTTGTGACAGAGACTGACCATGGGGCTCACAATGTCTTAACAATGGTCAATTGAGAAAAAAATTTACCATCCTCTGCTATTGTGAGTAAAGTTGCCTTGAACATTCATGTACAGTGTTTGAGTGGATAAATGTTTTCATTTTTGTTCCTAGACTGGAATTGCCGGGTCATTAAGTAGATGTTTAAATATATAAGAAATGAAGTTTATAAGAATTGCTGGTTAGATGATAGGTGTAATGTTTAAAAACATAAGAAATTGCCTTAAGCTAAAGTGATAATACTCTTAAATATTTTCACCACTACTGTGTTATGTTCACTCCGTATCCTTTTATGGAGTTGCATTATTAGCTTAAAAAAAAAACAAAACAGTTTTAATAGGTGTATCTCAGTATTATTTTAATTTGTACATTTTAATGACTAAATGTTATCTTTTTATGTACTTATTGGTTAGAAAAATCTTAAAGTACTTGCTCAATACTAGGTATTGAGTTGTCTATAGTAAGAGATGTTTATATATTCTGTGTGCAAGTCCTCTGTTCATTATTTGCATTGTGAATATTTTCTATTGGGGCTGAAAGATTTTTATAAAAAGGCTTCATTTTACTTTTCCTATTTTCTAGTAGTTTGAAGTGAGGATAAATCTGGTCTGCTTTGTCAGGGCGGTGGCAATAAGTTTTTTGTTCACTGTTATAGCCTTCGTGGCTAGCAAGAAGTGTGGCAAAACTCACTTCAAACATTTCTTCTGAATGAATTAGTATCAAAGAACTCATTTAAGAAAAGTAAACATTTGGGTCTCCAAAGGTGGCCTTTAGTCGTTGAAGAGCCAAAAAGAAAAAAAAGTTTCTAATAGTATTTCATTCTAGTGATTTTAGAAGCATGTTCAGTGTTTCTACATTAACTAAATTAATGTCATATATATATATATAAAAGAATCATCTTTGAATTAAAGTTCTTTTGGCAGTTTTTGTTTTGGACAAATTTTTCAAAACTTGCTTTGGAAATTTTCTAAAACATGTACCTTATCTTCCAAGGTTGAAGAATGAAAAAGCATTGCGTCTCAACCTTATTGGTAAGTGAATTTATCTGAAATCTGATTAGAGTACATTGAAGTTCTGCTCTATACCTATTTTTTTAAACTCTCCTAGTAAAAATACTATTTTCATGTAAGTGAATTTCTGTTACCAGACTGATACACAAAAATATTGGTTTAAAAAAAAAATCAAACCTTTAAGACAAAATGTTGATTTTTTTTCTAGAAACTGGTCTGCGTTTATCTACCTCTCATTTACCTCTCTGAAGTTTAATTCTTGTTCTCTATTAAAATTATGGAGAAGAGGTCCCTTAGGCCATGAAAAGTTATGGCCATAACTTTTCATGGCCTAAGTGTTTTGGAAACAGCAGTTTTAATATAATGATATGGGTACATTCTCCCTCATTCTGTTCACACTCTTTTGTCAAATTTATTATTGGTAAATTTTTATTGACAAGTTTGAAATTTCAAAAGTGATTATGGGCTACTTTGTCATGCGTAAAATCTAACTGAAAGTAACCATAATGGTGTGATTTACTTCTAAGGAAAAGGTCTGTTAGCTGTTTGATAATAAAATCTTAGCACTCTGTAGTTTCTGGCAGATCTTATATACTTAGTCTAGTTACTAACTTTGAGGCCCTGGACAAGATATTTAACCTTTCCCATCTGTAAATGATAGTAATAGTACAAATTCTTATACATTGCTGGAGTTCTTGATATAGGACCTACTGTTTATTAATTGTCCAGCAAATGCCATCTTTATTATTTTCATTTTTTAAAAACTTAGACAAGTTCTAGCCTTTGCTTTTAAATACTTAGAACTTCATGTTCTATTAAAAGTATTTTCTTTAAAATTTTTGCCTCCTTACTAAATATATACAGAAAAGTATGCCTGCCACCCATCTTTTCCCCAAATTAAAATGTGACAGTTTCTAACAGAATGGTTTAATTAGATTTGAACCCACACAAGACTTTATATTTAACATTGAAATAAATGTTGATACTGTTGAAACACATTTATGTTGAAAGTTACAATGAGTACTTTGCTTAAATGATGACTTAGTATTAAACTTATTACAGGTGAAAAACTGCAATGGTTTCAGAATCATCTTGATCCCAAGAAAGGAGGATATTCAAAGAAAGATGCTTGTGAATTAATTGAAAGGTAAACACAGGGCATGTTATGAGCGAAAGGTCAAAGAATTCTCTAACATGGCTCAGTTCTGGCTTAATAGAAGAATCCATGGGCTTTGTCACTGAAAATGCTTTGGATTTATAAATCTAATCTAGTCACCTTAGTACATCTGTAACCTTTCTGGGCCTCAAAATGGTAGTGAATGCAGTCTTGTCATCATGAAAGGCTTCCTGGAGAACTTTCATCAAAACGGACTCTTGGAGGGTAGGAGTAGTTGATTGAAGTAAAGTATTTTTAAGAATCTCTAGGCAGAGAAAATGATATCTAGAAGGCCCAAAGGTGAGAGCAACATATTGCAGTGATCTGCCAGCCATTTAATATGGCCAAGACAACAGGTAAAAGGAGGCAATTGAGAGATGTGCTCCTCACTTGGGCAACTTAATGAAATTTGTATTTACTTTCTGAGATAAGGAACCAGAGATGGAGCTGGGTTTCGTGGGGGATGAGTGGGGTCAGGAATGAGGACAAGTTCAGTTTTGATATGTTCAGGGTGAAGTTCTAGGGCATATCCAAATGGCGACATCCAGGAGGTGATTGAATAAGAGGAGCTGGAGTTTAACAGATGCTTTGAGTTGATTATTGAAATGTTAGAAATGGTTGTTGTCTAAGCAAAGTTTGAGGTCAGAGGATTTGAACTCGAACTGTAAGAATTTATTTATTTATTTTTAATTGAAAAGCTATTTTCTTTTTAAAGATTTATTTATTTATTTATACAAGCACTGGGTACAGTCAGAAGTGTGGGAGGGTGAGAGAATTCACAGAGCCAGAACAGAGAGCAGAGCAGGTAGACCGACAAAGTACACTGCTGAGGGGAGCAGCGGGCAGCAGGAGAGGTCTGCGTGCCATGTGGGACCTCGCCCAGTGGCCAGGGATTGAACCGGTGCTGCAGAGGCTGCGGGCAGCTTTGCAACCCAGCGCTCAACCACTGCACCACCGGGGAGGCCCTCGAACTGTAAGAAGTTAGAGAATTAGTTATAGATTGACTAATTATTTTAAATGAAGTAATATAGGCCAAGTGTACGGAGTAACTCAAATCATTTTCTTATTTTTCAGATACTTAAATCGCTTCAGCAGTGAGCTGGAGCAGATTGAATTACATAACAGCATCAAAGACAGGCAGGGAAGGCGACACTGTTCCCGGGAAACAGTCATCAAGCAGACAATGGAGCGTGAGCGACAGCAATATGAAGGATATGGCCTTGGTGTGTTCACTGTGATTTTCTTTTTCTTTCTAAATTACATAGTAATATCAGACTTGTAATTCATTTCAGAAGCTTAATATGGTTGCTTTATTTTCAATTCAGTTGGTTTTCTTCCTTTGCTTCCCTTTCCTTTGTGAATATATGGAATAATTTGGTTTTCCTTTTGTCCCCAATCCATTCCCAGAATTGTCAGTTGTGACAATGATATCATCTCTATTGTGACAGTTTTTCTCTTCCTTCTGGCACATGCCTAACTTGCTTTGTCATAAAGTCATTCCTTGCCCACCAAAGTTTCTTTAAAGCATATACCCTGTTCCTCTTATTGTTGTAATTTTTATAGTACCAGACTGTACTTGTTGCAGTCATCCTTGAGAAACTGGAAATCATCTTTCTTTCTTAGCATTGTAGCATTTCTTACAGTAATCCTTCCATGCCTCAGATAAATTCTTGATCTTTCCAAGGTGAAGTATACACTTGAAAAGATGTTTTCTCCAAGAAGATTTATAGAACAATCTAGAATGTTGTTTTAGGGGATTGATAATAGATTTTACCATGGACTTTTTGCAGTTTCAAAAAAGGACAATTATTAATAGGTTTGGTTTATTTCAGATTCTGTGTCAATTTTTATTTAATAGTATTCTTAAACCAAGCCTTTTATACTTAAAAACTTAAACTTCTCATACAGCATTATGGCAATACTCAAATTTTGTTTTGCTTTTGATCTTTGTCATTTTTCTGAATTCTGTGATAACGAACAAGAAAACTATGAAATGTTATGATTTTGAAGACATTGTTTAATAAATATGAATTATTTTCTTTCCCAGAGATACCAGACATTATAAATTCAAGTAATCTGAAAACCTTCAGGTAAGTTTTTTTTTAATTTGAAGCTTAATATAAAATGCATGAGAAAGTTTCTTCTCTTTTGAGGCTAGATGAAAATGTTTTTAACTTTTTCTTTTGTCAGTGTAAGACTTTTCCAGTAATAAAACACCTGATAAACACTGAAATGATAGTGATAAGCTTATTTTTCAAATATTTTCATTTCACTATTCATATCCAGTTCATATTTTTTTAAAATAATAGTCAACAGACGGGATGCTTGAGAGCCCTACCCTCAGACTTAACAGCATCTTGTTTTGTACAAGATGGTTAATGGGAAGTAATCACAGAAGAGTTGGTCCAATGCTATTTCCAGAATACTCTTGTGACCAGAAAGACGGAGTAGGAAATTTCTAGTTTTCAAACATGGGTTCTTCTTTAGAAAATGATTCTTAAAAAATTTGTTAAAGTAGTAAATGATTTTTATTAGTAACTTAGGTCTTAACTAGACTGTTGATAGGTCTAAAATTAATTGAAATTAGATAAATTTAAGCTCATTCTCTATACCCTCGTTTTTATACTTGTATACTTAATATTTATATTCATAAAATATTAGTCTAATAGAGTTGATTGATCATATTTGAGAAGTAGATCACTTTTTAGTTCATGTATATATATTTGTAGTTTAAGTACATGGAGCTGATGGGTTTTTTTATACCTTTTCCCCCTTAATCAGATATATAAACATATTCCTTATTTGTTAAATAATGTATATTCTACCCCCCCTCCCAAAACATGACAGAACAAATTAGCGTAGATTATTAATATTGTTGGTCAGAGTTCAGTTGTCAAAACTATCTTCACATTACTTCTAAAATAATTGAACATAGAAGATTGTCCCAGAAAATGCTGAGGTTGAAAAACAAGTTTTCTATTTTAACCATGAAACTTAACTGCGATTTTGCACTGTGTATAAGAAAAACCTTTCTAACAATGCATTTTGAAGATTTGCCTTGTATGATATAGTAAATTGTTCCTCCTTCTGAGACTCTTGATACCATGTAGCCTATAAGGAGAGTATATCGGTAGGGAGAAAAAGATTGGAAGGAGCTTGCTTGTAACATCTGACTAATATTTTCCTGTTTTGCTTTGGAAGTTTTGAATATATGGGAATTACCATAATTAATGCTATTTAAAATTTATGCTGTTTTAAATATAAAGCATTTATATTATTTCTGTGGAGTACATTTGATTCTACTATTAATTTATAAACTTTCATCTTTCAGAGTTTTGAGTGTTGACTTTCTTCTGCCTTTTCACCTCCCTCCCAACCATTTGTTTTTTCTTTTGTCTAGGGAATGGGATTTTGACTTGAAGAAATTGCCAAACATTAAAATGAGAAAAATTTGTGCTAATGATGCAGTTCCCAAGAAATGTAAGAAGAAAACTGTTATTACAGCTGTAGACAAAGATTTAGGGGAATTGGAACTAAAAGATGAATCAAGTGACACAGATGAGGAAATGACTGCAGTTTGAGAACTTCAAGTTACACTTGAATTGATTATGGTAAATAATTGTCTAATACAATGCTGCTATTTAGCTTATTCTCTTATATGTTGAAAATCCCATTTACAGATTCAAAAACTGCTTTTTTTAATTTAAAAATGAATGTTGCTTTTCAAACATGTTTTAATTTTTTCCTCATTATCACTTAATCTCACTTAGGAACATGGGTGATAACCTGTTTTCTGAAAGGGTCTTATAGGTATTTGAGCAGTGATACCAAAATTGTTTGCAGTAATAATGTGTCACTAATCTTCCTCAAACATTAACGTATATTCCTTTCTTATAAAGTAGGGAAAATTTATATACTGATGGATTATTTTTATTTATTACCTTTGAACTAGAGTAAAATGTTTACAAAAAATCTATTTTTGTGTCATCTCCCACACTTAATCTCATCTTTTATTAAGAGATACCTGAGATCAGGTTGTTTTTTTCTCCCTTCTCATTGTGAAAAGTGATAGGATTTATTTGTGAAAACAAGATTAGAGAACAAATTATTTCTATTGTCCTATATTTTCTTCTAAAAGATAGGTTACATTGACATGTAACTAAATGAAGTACGAAAAACCATGGATGTCATTGACTGTTGTACTTCACTGAGCCTGTTAAATACAAGTATTTTTATGTCATCTACAACACAACTGTATTTGAATATTTAAGAAATAATGTGAGGTTAATTAGGTATCAACAAAGTCTTGCTATCAGTTTAAAAATGTTACAGCATTTTTACTTCTGAAAATAAAATTTATTTCCATAATATTGTAAAGTTCTAATTATTTTTAAGTGGTAGAATTGATGCTTATTTGCTTGCTTTAGTAATCTGGATAAAAGTATGATTTTTATGACTACACAATAAGTTCTCATTAGTCATTGAAAATTTTCCTTTTTGGGGGCTTGGTCTATATTTAGTCTCAAAATGGCTATAAAAACTGAGTCATAAACTACAATTAATAAAAACTGAACTGGTCTGGTATTTGAAAAACCATACTGTTAGATGATTAACTTGTGAAAATGGTAGATCATCCCCCCCCTCAAACATTTTTTAGTTTTCCCTGTTATTGTGAAAAATTTAATAGCTTAGAACTAGAACAGGTAAATATTTGTTAAATCAATGAATTTGCCCTTCAGAACCGTAATTGTCAGGTCTTTTCTGATTGGACCAAAGAAATACAAGAAATCATTTGTCTCTAGAGTAATACTTTTAAACGATATCCTTAGTCACTACCTATAGAACATGGTCTCTCTGCGGTGGTAACTTTTACTCTCTTCTGACCCTTCTTGGTTAGCAGTATATCTTTGTCAGATCACTTGTGGTCCATGGCCACAGAATGAATGTCGCTTTAACAAATACACAATTTAATGCAATCCCTATCAAAATTCCAGTGACATTAAGGAAATAGCACAAAATACTAAGATGATATGGGACCACAAAAGATCCTGAATAGCTAAAGCAACTGGCTCACTATCTCCATGCACAAAAATAAATTCAAAATTAAAGACAGATGTTAGAACTCAAGCCATAAAATACACAGAAAACATAGGTGATAACAGGACATCAATGATGAGATGCTTTTGGAAATATGATCCTAACAGCGAGGGAAATGGAAAAAAAAAAAGACAACTGGAACTACATTGATTGATAAGGCTCTTGTAAACCGAGTGAAATTATCAGCAAATTAAAAAGCCCACTAAAATGTGTGCACATCCCATTCAATATACGGGGTTAATATCCAAGATACATAAAGAACTCAATCCAACTTAATACAACCCAATTAGGCAGACAGAGGGGGCCTCCCTGGTGGCACAGGGTTAAAAACTGCTGTCAAGCTACCACCAGCCACTGCAACTGACTCACATGGCGCAGCAGACCTGTCTCGCTCACTGCTTCCCTCAGCTGTGAATTTCAGTAGGTCTGCCTGTTCTGCTCCCCACTCTGGTGAATCCTTTTACCCCCTGCACCTCTGGCTTACACCCCAATTCTTGTATGCATAATCTTTAAAAAAAAATGGACAGATCTGAACATTTCTAGAGCATACACTTATGACCAACAGACATGTGAAAAGATTGTCGTGTTAGGGAAATGCAAGTCAAAACTACAGTAAGTTATCTCAAACCTTTCAGAATAACAAAAAAAGACTGCTACCAACAAGTGAACCCACATATGCCGATGGTGGGATGTCAAGTGGAGTGACCCCTTTGGAAAGTAATATAGATGTTTAAGCAGCTAAAAATAGAACTATGTATGATCCAGTAATCCCACTTGGATATCCTAAGACTACAAACCCATCAACCCAAGGAGTTATTTATATCACTATGTTTACTGCAGCATTATTTATGATAGCAAAGATGGAAGCAAGTGCCTGCGTAGAGATGATAGACTGATAAAGAGAAAAAGGTGCCAGCTCCTGTAGTGGGGAGAAATATCCTGGTGAGGCTGTAGGCATGGGGGTGAAAACAGACTAGAGAACAGGGCAGGTGAATTTATTGAAATACACTGTTAAGAGAACCCTGGAGCGAGATAGAAGTCTTCACACGTGAAGAATTTGGGGCACCCTTTTATAACCTGTTTTCTCAGACTTTCCATGACGGGGGGTAATCAGTTTGGACCAGTTGTTTGCTGGGTATCTGGTTTCGGGCTTTGACCTTTGACACATAATGTATCCTGGTGGTGCTTCTGCATTCATGGTCAAAGCGATCAGTCTTAAGGCCTGGTTCTCCTACAGTTCAAATCTTTATTCAAGCCTCCCAAACCTACCTCCTGGGCAAGGAGTGGGGGCTTAGTTTTTAGCCTTATTAAAAGGATTCTCCGACACTCCCCATGAGACTTGCCCCCCAAAACGGGTCAGATGACATAATGCGACATGAGGAGTGAAGCATCCTGTTGCTGGAGGGCTGATTCTAATTTGCAGCTAAGCAGTTCTGTAGCCTGCAGCTGAACCCTTAAAAGAGATGAAAACTCACACTTTATCAGAACTCAGGAGGCAATAATAGGCTTTCTCCCTTTTCCTCCCTGGAAGCCAGGTAAGAAAAATGAAGTTTCTTAATAGAGAACCAGCCCGTGCTGGGGAGTCCTAGGGCAAGTTAGGGTTAAGTAGGCGGCTTCAGGCACAGTGCAGGCAGGGACTTTGGGGGAGTTAAAGCTTCTGAGATAAAGGCAGAGAAATCCAGGAGGGCTAATGAGGGCAGTAAATTTGAAGACTAATAAGGAGAGTAAATTTTAAGAGAACTTCAACAGAGCAGTAGAAGACTAAGAGCAGTAAAGCTGGACACAGCTCTCCAGGGAAGTACAGCCACTGACAGCGCCAATCACAAGAGGATGATTAGATTTTAGAACAGAAAAAAAGGTTTAACTATCCCCTAGACATGGGCCCATACGACAACGCTGCCTTAGGGTCTTTGCTTGTGTTCTTTTTCTTCTAAAGAAACTTTACTTTCTTGAATATAGTTTGCTTTTCTCCGCTTATCTGAAAAGTCTGAATTCCTTTTTATGGCTTCATGAAGCAAGAACCGATGGTGGTTCAAGGGCTAAGTTAACAGTGTACACCGGTTTCACCGGCATCCTAAGGAGCGTGAAGAGCCTTAGTCCATGTAGGCCAAGTTGTCACAGCTGAGGTGAATTTTAGAACACAAAATGGGAGGATTGCACGAGCTTCCACAGCCAACTTCGGTTTTCTCCTTTTACTTAAATTTGAATGATTCGCATATACTTGTGATGCAAGTCTAACACTGAAAACGTCGTTTCTTAACCTTTTCTCCATACTTCACTGCTGATTAATATCAGCAGCTGAAAACCCTATGATTTTCAACATACCATTCTCCCTCTCCAGGACTTAATTTCTACCTGTTGACCTCTTTCCGTATGCATCACCCATCTCTTGCCTTCACATTTCTTGTTCAGCTTAGATTTCACAGTTGCTTTCTTGTATATGCCCTCAATTTCTTTTGCCCTGACTGCACAGTATTTCTCTCAAAACCCAAACCAAGTAATACCCAATCTGCCTCCCTTACGCATATTTCCAAGCAGCTCAACCCTGTTGAACACCAAACCACGCTCACATTCATATTTGCAGATCTCGGGTTCTCATTTCTGCTTAGCCACTTAGCAATTTTGTTTCCCTCCTAGGTTCGTTTTCCAATTTTGAGAGGATTTCCTAATTTTTCAAAGGTTCTAGCTCACCTTTAATACTAATTTCAACCAGAGACACTTTTTGGGGGGTGGGGGCGGGAGGGGAGGGATTGGGGTCAGAATGGGGTGTTTGCAATTGTATGGGGAAATATAAAAATAAAATTTATTATTTAAAAAAAATACTAATTTCAACTGTTGCCTTTCTATATAGCATTGAGAAAGTAGAAACTAGTTGATTTTCTTTCCCTTTGACTAAATGAGCTAGCTTTTCTTCTTTCAAAGGTAAATAGACCTGCTGTGTCCTAGATCCATCCTATTGTCTTTTCAGGAACTTTTGATTCTCAAGATTTTCCACCTAATTTCTCAAGCCAGAAAATTGCCTATGTCAGTCCTCACTTCTCCCCTTTTTCTTCTATGCTCCCCCCCCCCACTCCCCACCAATACTGCTGGTTCTATTTCCAGAAATTAATCTTGTCTGCCCGAAACTGGAGCTCTGAATGCAGCACAAACTGCAGGGCAAGACCAGCTCTTCCCCACCACTGCCTAAGCATGAGGAGCGGTTGGAAAAGCAGTGGCGTTTCTTGGGGCCCACGCCTAAGTTGCGCTTGTGGGCAGCCCCTTTCCCAGGCACTAGTTGGGTGGAATGCCAGGCCCCAGCAGGAATTCCCTGCCAGCTGCCCGGAGTGTCGCTTTGGCCGCACCCTGGCTTTGCTGCAGCAGAAGGCCAGGAAGAGTGAAGCCCTTCCTTTCTCGGAGGCCAGGGACAGCGTCTCATCTTTGTTCCGAAGCCAAGATCAGAGTCGCCCAAGCTGGCACCTTCCATGGCTTATATCCTCTTCCAGAGTCCTCCCCCACCACCTACAAGTCTGACTGGGCCATTTTCAATCCTGTGTCTGATTGGATTATAGCAACAGTCAGCTCATAGCTTGCACCTGATCAGGCCACTGCACCATCCAGGCGCCAAATCCACGGGCCTCTCTACTGTCTGCAGCTGGAGGAGCCGCAGCACTCACGCTGGCCCTGTGGGGCCCATGCTCCTCCCTGCGGTCCTGAACCAGGGGCTGCCTGCCTGGGGGTGGGGGGGATGGTAGGAGAACCACTGCTGTCCACCATCACTGCTGGCCCATGCTGTAGCCTGAACCCCAGTGGGGCCACTGGTGGCAGGTGGTAAAATGCCTGTCACTTGTTGCTACTTGCATTGCCCCAAGCAGCTTCTGGGCTCAGCGCCCAAGGAGCAGCAACTGCGGTGAGCAGAAAGCCCACCCGCTTTTCCAACAGCTCCTGCCTCCCAGGAGGCGGAGGGAACGAGCTGGTCTTGCCTCACAGCTCTTGCCTCACAGTTTCTGTTTCCAGCGCATGTCCACTTTTCACCCGTATGTAAGCCACTGCGTCTTACCTGTACCGAGTGCCTCAGCTTCCTAGCTGGCCTTCACGCTGCCATCCTGGCTCTTCTGAAGCCACTCTCCAGAGTTGCTCATGAATTTAAAAAAATGGACACAAAAAATGCTGCTCCTTTGTCCAAGTCCTCATAAGGGCCACATTTCTAAAATAGCGTGCTTATATAATGAGCTATAATTTTGTTTCTGACCAATTTCTAAAAAAATGATTATTTTTAGTGCAGTTTTAGATTCACATCAAAATTAAGATCCGAGGCTCCCACAGAGGCATAGCCTCCCCTATTATCAACACGGCCTCCAGATTGGCACATTCGTTACAATTGACGCGCCTACATCGACATTTATCACTTTTTGAATGAAATTTAGGACTGTGTCATGGCCAAAGAGGCCTGAAATGAAGATTTGACTGCTTTTTCCTACCTCAACTGCCCTTGGCTTCCTATACATCTGACGTGCTGGCCTTGCGTCCATTTCTGTGGTCAAGCTGGTTCCTGCAGTGGACCAGCTGTGTGCTGGCATCCTGATGACTGCCTTTAGCCTCTTAGTGTGCTTAGACCAGGTTTTGTCCCAGCTGAAACGAGTCTTAGAACATTGTAATCCTCCTGGAACACAAAATGGGAGGCGTGGGAGAAACCACCTACCACAGGCCACTTCATGTTCCCCTGTCTTCCAGGGAGGGGATGGGAGAAAGTCATTGCCCCCTGGGTTCTGAAGAAGTGAGACTTTCCACCTCGGACCTCTTTAGGGTACAGGGCGGGCAACAGAACTGCTTAGGAGCAAAGCAGAGTCAGCCTCCCAGTAAAAGGGTGCTTGTGCCCTTATGCCATCTGACCCATTTTTGGCAGGGACAAGTCTTATGGGGAGCTCACACCTTTGTCCTCTCTCTCTCTCTCTCTCTCTCTCTCTCTCTCTCTCTCTCTCATCTATATCATCTATCTATATGTAATAAACTCTGACTCTAATAAGGCTTGTCTCTTCACTGGCTGAATCATGCTTGACAATTCCTATTTAGGACTTTGGTACTCAGTTTCCTCTTAAATGAACTCTAACCCACGTCCTTGCTGCTCCTATTTCTGTCACAACTCAGTTTTTGGACCTTTAGTTGAACATCCAGTGACAATGATTAGTGAGTTAGGCACGGCTGTTGCAGCTCTGGGGAGGGGAGGAGGCTGTGAGTTTAGATACTCAATTTGGGCAGAAGAATGAACTCGTGCATTGAGATAGGCAAGCAGTTTGTTAAGCCTGAATTCAGACTTAGAGGTTGAGGCTTTGAAGGACAATTTCTTCACTATCACCAAACTCTTGGATCAGAAATGGATTCCAGTCTTTCTCTTGTTATTTATTATCTACAAAATTATCTGAATCTACTATTTTATCTGACTAGAGAAATGCTATTCTGTTGTACATCCAAGGCTTATTCATGAGAAAATTTCTTCTCTAGATCGCATTGTGATTTTTCTGTTTTGTCTTTTTTTTTAAATGGTTTAAAAGTCTGTGCAGATTATTTTCACTGGTTTTCCCTTGTTTGTGCACCTACTTGTTCCTTTCAAAATGTCACAGGTTAATCAGCCTATGTTGGTCTTAAAATAATGATAAAAATACTTAGAACTGGCTTAAAAACTCAGATCGTTACAAAATCTTAACATTCAAACCTGTTTGATAAATTATCTGCAGAAATCCCAGTGACTTTGGCAAAAATTACAGAAACCACAACCAACGTTTGAATCACTTGTTTAATATACAAAGTCTTTCACAGATAATTTTTTTCCTTAATTTGTCTTAGTACACATTATTCACAAAACAGGAAATTCTTAATGCAAGAGAATTCAGTAAAACCAAAAAAGTACAAATGCTCAATCTCAAAAATTGTACACAGTTAAAATACTTTTTCCTTATTGGTTTTAATGCAGTGTCCAATTTCAAAATGGGCTTTCTTCAGATGTGGAGGAAACACTGTAGCCCAAAATAACAGTACTTCCTTTCAACTGTATTGATATGTAAAATAGCACCTTTGGGCTGACTTAAGGAAAGAAAAAAGGTCTTCATCTTTCTTAATTAAAGTGTAAGTCTTACACAATTAAGTAACAACTACAGAAATAAATTTTAAGTGCTCTATTTTGTTCCAAAACATTCAGTGGCAAGGCAAGGCAAGGCAAACTGTCAGGCTGATGGGATAATCTTCTACACCTCACCCCCCCATGACAATTACAACATCTTAACAACATCGTTACTCTGAGCTAATTTTTCTATCAAAGAATACACATTAGAGAGATACCCAAGGACTTCTGCAAAACAAGATGAACAGCAACTAAGAGGCCATCTCTGGGACTATAATTTCATGTAACAACAGCTGATCAGTGATGTAATCAGAGTGTTTTGAAAGACTCCTTCAAAACACATCTATCTCCCTTCAATTTCTGTTTTGATTTTATTTTTTGTTTGTTTTAGTACTTAACTTTAATTGCCTTCTTGGGCTTCACTTAAAAAAAAAAAGAAAACTACTGGAATTTCACTTCTTTACAATTTAATCTTTGATTCTAAATAAGACAGACACAGCTTTAGTTTAAAAAATTAACAGCATAAGGGGAGAAGGAGGGAGAGGCATCAGAAGGAGGGAGGGAGAACAGGAGACTGTGGTGATGGTGCAACGGTGCCTTGGGAAAGGAAATTCTATGGGACTCAACCTGAGGGGTTTGGGGGAAGAAAATATTGTTCAAAAAAAAAATTAAAAATTAAAAAAATTGCTACAAAAAAATAAAAAAATTAACAGCATAAATGTCTGTTTTGTGGTATTGACAATACCACAGATTCATGATTATAAAAAGCCAAGGTTTTTAACAGAATTGTAAAGTCAATCCTCATTTTCAGTCCTTTTTTCAATTCCATCTTACTTGTTACACGAGCAGGTAAACATGCTTCAAAATATCTTATTCTAGAGAGCAGTTACATCCAGTCCACAAAAACATTGTCAAAATGTCCAATTCTTTCATTGAAAGGGCAGATGTACCAATGCCACAAAAAACATAAAAAGAAAAAACAATCAACCCTAGGTTTTAGATAGTTATTTCATATCATTTGAATCATAAGCAGCTATTGTAGGCAGACTCTTGAAAGATTCAAATTTGGTTCAGGGACTAAGGTCAGAACAGCAGAATGAAAGTCTGACTTTTAACCTGCAAGGGAGCTTCATTCTTTCCTCATTACAAGAAAGTCAAACCGATAAAAGTTAATTTTGAGGATTTTGGTATGGCTGAACGCCATGTCACCTTTTATGGTTAATACAGTATTGTTTATCTTTTCATTATAGAAATATTTTCTTAGTGTTAATTGTAGTCCTTAATAGGACTTATTTTAGCCAATCATCTCCCACTGTGAAATGAGCTATGCACTTCTGTTGCTTAGGTTTGTACAGAATTTAAATAGTATTAAGTAACTAAGGTAAATATCCTTTTTCTTCCTGAGCAAACAAAAGATGAATCAGTATTTCTTTGTTTGCTGGTGACTAAATCCCCCCTTCTCCCCCCCAAGGAATATCTGTAAACAATTAAGTTGCCACTGCTTAGGAAACTGACAGAAAAATCAAATCAAGGTTAATTCCTTGGGTAAGGAGTCAAATCACCCAAAGCTTTGTTATCCATGAATGTATTTATCTTAAGTCTTTAAAAATGGAAATTTAAGAGGAAGTTAGTACAAAGATTAGATAACCTTTTCTTTTTTTATAGTTTGGAAATATCACATCTTCATTTATGCAGAAATTTTGGTCCAAATCAAGGGTAATTCCTTGGGTAAGGAGTCATAGTTACATCACCCAAAACTTTGTTATCCATGAATGTATTTATCTTAAGCCTTTAAAATGGAAATTTAAGAGGAAGTTAGTACAAAGATTAGATAACCTTTTCTTTTTTTATAGTTTGGAAATATCACATCTTCATGTATGCAGAAATTTTGGTCCAGTGTAGTTACCTCAATTTGTTTTCCCTATGCCTTTATTCCACACAAGTTTAAGAAAGATGAGTTTTAAACCTTTTGTTTCCTGTCTTGTCTGAAAATTTAACATTTTCTTGTGTATATACATGAATACATCCCCACACCACACACATAGACAGTTGACATTATTTACCTTTCTTTATTTTTAGGAATTGGATCTATTCAGACTCACGGTCAGCCATTACTAATATTCATATCACCTGTGTCCTCATTAAAAGATTATTTCTTTTTCCTTTGTCTTATTATAATCTGTGAAGAACAAGCAAACTGATAATAACAAAGTGCATCAGTTGAGACCCAGATTTGTGCAATGTGACACCCATGCTTTGGTTCTTCTGGCCATCGTGGTTGCCTGTTCACAGGAATAAATATGACAGCTAACAAAAATAAATCACCTCTTTTATGTAAGACATCATTCTTTGACAAGCCACTATATCTATAATCATTAATCTAGCTCACTGCAGTATCATTCACGCTTCAGTTTTACATGAATATGCAAAGAACACAATAATCAACTGAACTGTCAAACCCAAACAACTCAATTTATTACACAGAATCTGTGGAATATTTTTGCTTCCCATCTGAGCAAGGAAAATACTGTCAGTTTTTAAAAATAGAGCCTAAATGCTTGGTCATAACTACTCATCTGTCAAAATGACACCTCATGTGGATTAAAAAAAAACAAAACCAAAAACCTTGCACCTTTGATTTAATAAGAAATATTTAATTTTTTATTTTACTATTCTAAGTGCTTCATAATAGCAAAGAGAAGTTAATTTTAGAACTTTGCTAGCAGCAGGTTGCTTTATCTTTCTGTACTTTTTTCAGTCTTTAGAAAAATGGTAACTTCCTTACTCAGGTCACTAAATTTCTTTAACTTAGTGCTTTATAAAATCAACATTTGCGAGTTTTTGAATAAAAGACTGAATTAAGCTGCTATTTTGAAATATTTAACTGTTAAATAGTGCAAAAATTTAATCTCTACATTTTAGGGCTGCACAAATCCATATGGTTAATTCAAATTGAGATGCTGTATGGATAAAATACATACCGAATTTTGAAGACTTGCTTCATGAAAAAAGTTGTAAGTTATCTCAATTTTTTTGTATTGATGTGTTGAAATGATAAGTTGGATATATGGTATTAAATAAAATATATTATCAAATTAATCTCATCTCTGTGTTTTTACCTTTTTTAATAGGGTACCTAGAAAATTTAAAATTTACATATGTGGCCTCCATTCATTGGCCCTTGCTATTTTTCTATTGGGAAGCATTCAGGCCCTGATGGTTGATTTCAACTCCTGTGGGTATTTTAAAAGAGCTAATACAACCAAAAAATTTTCTGAAAATCTTTTGTTCATGATTTAAACATAATTCCAGGTATTAATATCTTTCAAGGTGTATTGCATCTATTTTAAAAACATGCATTTGTCAAAACAAGTAGATTCCACTATAGTCATAAAAATCTGTTAGCTGTCAAAGTATGAATATCAAAATACGCATCCTCCAAGTTTGCTTCTGATGTGCCTTAGGGATAATGCAGATAGTTTCAAGCTTAAAATCAATTATGTTTGCAATTTCCAGATGAGACAGTTAACGTGAGGAGGCCATGGAAGAAATACACAACACACTGCAATTCCAGTCCGTGTTCTTGAGCTTCCCTCTGCTACTGTGAGGAGGATCACGTGTCCATTTAGTCTTTCCTTGTTGCCTAAAAGCATTCCTTGCTCCGATGGTTCTTAAATTGTCTTAGAAATCATTCTCTGGCACACAAACTTTTCACATTTTCTTATCACACTTTAGACTCTGCTTCTTGGGATCCTGGCTGTTTGGTGTATTTTCCTCTTTGAGTAAGGGAGGAAAAACAAGTCAGTAGGAGAAAGGGAAGAAGATAAAGATTTAATAATTCAGGATCACTTCTGACACTGTAGTGGCCGAGGGCGAGAAAGAATCTCTTTATATAGAAACTCCCCACTGATTCCATCACACGGGGATAACTTCAGCCAGGCTGCCCTCTGCAGGCGGGAGGGAATTTGTACCTGTCTGTAACACAGGCACTACCACAGCATCCTTGATGTCCGTGTTTATATTACATGAGAAGTTCTTCTCCAATTTTTTGGCAGTGTCCGGGCAATTCTGCACAAAGATCACCCGGTTGTAGGCCTTCAGCCTGCGCCACAACTGAACGTAGACTTTACATTGTACGTACATGAAGACCAGACCTCCTGTGAAGCCAATGGCCACCACTACCAGCTTCGTCCAAAATGGCCACTCAAGGACACCTTTGAAAAAAAAAAAAAAGAGAGAGAATGTTATCACCAATGGATGTGGTCATTTATTTGTGACTTCTTCAGAAGACTGCTAAATTTTTTTTTAAAGATTTATTTATGCATACAAGAACTGAGGTACAGGCCAGATGTGGGGAGTGAGAGGATTCACCAGAGACAGAGTGAGGAACAGAACAGATAGATTGACCGAAGTACACTGCTGAGGGGAGCAGCAGGTGAGACAGGAGAGGTCTGCTGCGCCATGTGGGTATCTCCCTGGCTGGCTGGGATTGAACCCACGCTGCAGAGGCTGAAGATTGCTTCATAGTGCAGTGCTTAACCCCTTGTGCCACCAGGGAGGCCCCCAAAAGACTGCTAAATTTAGTAAATAAGGAATATATTATTAATAACTGATAAGAATTATAACCTGAATAGCTTAACTGCTTTCAAATATTCTACAGTTATTGTTAAAATGGTATGTGAAGAGATTCTCTCACTTATCACTATAAGGATCTTATTCTCTTAGCATCAAGTGCCTACTGTGATCATCATACACTACATTAGACTTTTGATACTTACTTTGACACTTATTCCTTAGAGCTAAATCTTTAAGTCAGGATAATGAACGTACTGAAAGAAAAAATCAGAATTTAAAATCCTTTTAAAAGGGTGAAGTGTATGGATTGTATACATGGTTCCCTGCACTCCCTCATTTCCATTAAAATAAAAAAAAAATCAGAAAGAAGATGCCATATCTCACCAGAGACAGAAAATGAGAATTCCTGAATACAGACATCCATATGATTAAGGATTTTAGTCATTTAGTCCCCGATATACTCAGGGAAGACCAGTGGTTCTCAGCCAGGGTAGTTTTGTACCTCAGGGGACATTTGCAACTTATAGAGTTATTGTTGACTGTCACACCTGGTGTTGAGTGCTGCTGTCTTTCAGTAAATGGGGCCCAGAAATGCTGGGTTAATATCCACCATATAGAGGAAACCACTCTCCAAGAAAGAAGCCTCTAATCCAAGTGACAACAGTGCTGAGGCTGAGAAGCCCTGCTGTAGGAGACAAGCGCTGGAGCTTCTTTATTCGGAAACTGGGTAGGATCTAGTATGCAAATGAGGTATCTTGGAGTTCCTCACATTTAGAAGAATTTCTGCTCTTGGCTGTTAAATTGAGCAGACGTTTCTGTATGTTTAAAAAGCTTTCAGCCTCAGACAAGCTGGAGATGCTTTCTTTTCCACTTCTGGGGAAATCCCTGTAGATTGCATATACATTTCCCCTCTGCTTACTAAATCAGACTACCAACTGTTCCTCCTAAGTACCTGGAGATTTTCCATTTCTGTGCCTCTCTCTATCCATGATATTTAATCTCCCTCCATTTTCTTTCCTATTTGTGTGTGTCTACTTGTCCCACAAAACCCAACTGTAAGGGGCAGGACAGGGACACGGAGCAGGTTTTCTGTGATCGAGCAGATGGGGTAAAGGAGGACAGAGTCCTGGAACCCTCAGTGGCTTTTCAGGCTTTTATTGGGATTTTACTGGGTACACAGCTGGCAGGGGTGCCAGGGGGCTGGGAGGCCTGCCAGCCTCCCAGCCCACAGCAAGTCTTCACTCTATCTGGGCTCTCCGGCCTTCTCTGGTGCTTCTCTCGTGGTTCTGCTCTCTGCTTCTTCTGGTAGTTCTGTTCTCTGCTTCTATTCATTCTGTTCTGCTGGCATCTCCATGATGCCGCCCTTATAAGCCCAGTCTTAGCCCAGGTGAATCCCATCTACATATGCCCACACCCTAATCCAGGTGCCCGCCATCAGGCATGCATTCGGGACCACAGGGTTCCGACATCTATCCTAATGGCGGGAGGGCAGTAAAGCCTGATACTTTTACCTTACCCTACACCAACTCAGTAGTAATTTACAGCTGGAGACAAACCTGCCTATTCTTCTGTAGACTTATTTTCTGCCTCTTGTGGAGTAAGTTCACACTTGAACATAAGTCATTTTTCCTTTGCCCTGCCATGACTGTGACAAACACAGAATTTCTATCTGGTCCGTCTTTGTTTCCACAGTGCCTTGTTCAGTAGATAGCTCAAGGATGAATAAAGCTTTTGAATTTCTGATTTGATTGTATTGCCACAGTCGTTCCTTTTTTTTTTTTCAGTCTTTTCAATATACCAGAGGTGACAGCCTTTCTGTATTTGTCAGAGAAGCTCTGCTTTCTTTGGTGGAAAAGGTCTTTCTTCTGAAGAAGACTCCAGTCTTGATCCATTTTTCCACACAGAAATAGAGACCAGAATCCATAAGGCACATGAGAATTTGGGCCAGGAGTAAGTAGCTGCCATTTTCTTTGCCAGTTCAGGGAAACACAACCTGATTCCTCTATTTTCTTTCTCAAGGTGTATTTTCATCAATTTTCTTTGTTCAAGTTGTTCTTCCTTTAAATGTCCTGGGAGGGCCTCCCTGGTGGCGCAAGAGAGTGGGGTGTGCCCTATGAGTCTGTCTGCAGCCACTGCAGCATGAGTTCAATCCCCAGCCAGGGAGCAGCCCACAGGGTGCAGCAGACCTCTCCTGCCTCACCTGCTGCTCCCCTCAGCAGTGTATTTCAGTCAATCTGCCTGTTCTGTTCCCCACTCTGTCTCTGGTGAATCTTCTCATCCCCCGTCCCCCCGCCAACCACACCTCTGGCCTGTACCCCAGTACTTGTGTGCATTAATAAATTAATCATTGAAAAAATGTCCTGGGAAATCAAAGCTCCCACTAAATTCTTAGGCAAAGCTTAAAGTATAGAGAATCCCTCCCACCCCACATCCAAAATGGGTATAAACCCATTGTCAAAAAATAACCATCTTCTTTCAGAGATAGCCTGATCTTTCTCTTTGCCTTTAATATTAAGTGACAAGATTTTTGTTTTCTTTCTTTCTTTATTTTTATTTATTTATTTATTTATTTATTTATTTATGCATAGAACTGGGGTGAATGGGGTATAGGCCAGAGGAACAGAAGGTGAGGGTGAGAGGATTCACCTCAGACAGAGTGGGGAGCAGAACAGGCAGATCTACTGAAATACACTGCTGAGGGAAGCAGCAGGCAGACACAGGAGAGGTCTGCTGAGCCATGTGGGTCAGCTTCCATGCCCAGGATCAAACTTAGGCCGCAGCATCAGTGATAGCCTGATAGTGCTAATATTTAACCCCTATGACACCACAGAGGTCCAAGATTTTTGCTTCCAAAGAAGAAATAATTGTTGAGCAGCTGTAAAGATTTTACCTTGGAAAAACCACTATCAGGACATCTCCAGAGGAGATCCTAAAATGGGGCTAAGTGGATTTTTCAAGAATGTTTTCATTGTATTTCTGTCCTTTTATTGAATCTTAGACAATTGCTTTCATATTCAACTTTATTGGACCAGTCAGTTCTGTGCTGTCTTCTGTGAAGAGGAAAGAATGGACACAATAAGAAGTGGTGGTGTGAAGGGAAGGTACAAAATTTTACTTCTTGTGCATCTTTTGTGCAACCTAAAGAACTCTTTGTCTTCACTTACATGTGTGAATTGTTCATATGTGTGAATTGCTATTGCGATTTCTTTCATGGGGTGAAGCTCAAAAATCTCACCAAAAATTAAAATAAAATCCTGAAGTGCTTAAGTGGCATCTATGTGAACTGTATTTGTTAGGAAACATGTCAAACTTTCCCATTACGACAATGGCTTATAAACTGAGATGTATCAGTTGACCTCTCTCAAACTCATTTACTTCCCACCAATAATGTTTCTCTGAAAATATATTTCCTTGGCAATGCAAGAGGATCCTCTTCTCTCTCCACACAAGTGCTAGGTCACCTGGAAATCGTGCTGCTCTGCTTTCTCTTTACGTGAATAAACCAGAAAGTCCCAGGTGGGTGTTAAAATATAGTTGGAGATAAAATTACTTATTTCCTCATCTTTAAAACATTGATCTCTAAGGTCTCTTCCAGCTTTTAAATTTGGGTTCTTGGAGTATTCTGCATATCTTATGTAGCAAATCATGTGATGGAGACACCTGGAGTGTGTCTTTTTAGCCTTTTTAAGTCTCCAAACAGCAGAAAAGAACCTGCCTCATTTAACAGCTGCAGAGACAATGTATATTTAGAAAAAGCTTCTCATTGGCAAATTGTGATATTTTTGGCTGAGTACTTAAGGTTACACAACATTACAAAGTGTGTTTGTGTAAGGGTGTGCTTGAGTGGTGGGGCTGGGGACTGGTTTTCTCCTTCACTGTTTAATTTAAAAATTGTTTAAAAAACAAACTCACACATTTATAACTCTTCTACACCTGTTTAAATGGTAATATTGTGAGTAGATATGTATGATATATGAGCAGTACTTGTTCAACTTATATGCTATAATATCGAGTTCATGGACTCTTTGAAATGAATCATAGAAAGAACCTCTGAAGGAGATTTAGTGCAACTTAGTTTTACAATGAGGAAATTGAACTTCAGAGTGATTATTTTTTTCAAGATGACCAGCAAGTGACCAAGTAGAACTAGAACTCTGGCCTTCTGTCAGCTAGCCCCATTCAGTGTTTATCATATTTGGATTATTATAATAATCACAACATAATTACTTTCCAAGGGAATGTTTAAATAACATTGCAGGAAATGAAAATATGTATTTCAAGGAAGTGATTTTTAGCACATACTCTAGGCCGTTGTTAATAGCTAATGAGTTTTGCACAGAGTTCTTACCTAAAGTCAGCCACAGTCAACAAAATTTTTTGAGTTTCTACCAATTCCAGTGGGCTCCGAATAATGAACCATGACCTCTGCCCTGGAGATACTTAGAGGCTTACAGGTAAGTCAAGTATGGAAACAAAATTACCTTGTTAGGCGAGTGAGTCTCCCCTGGTGAACCCATAATCTGGGGTCACATTAAACTCTGAACCTATGGTCTCTTTACTAGATAGAATAAAATTTTGTTATGTTTTCTTGGTCTATATTTTTCTGTTTTATTTTTAAACACACGAAACGTATAGCAAA